GCTAAATTATAATACTGAATTCTGGGCTAATAATTGTAATTTTCTACTTTGTCTAAGTGATTGAGAATGAAATTTTTCAGGATTTGGTTCCCATTAATTTGTAAGATTGTGATACAACCCAGTTTTTCCAGATTAACACATAATAGTTATATTATGAAAAAGATCTTTATCATTATTCATTCACTCAAACACAGAAGGCCCAGCTCTGTGGTAATACAGTGAACAAAACAGAATCCCAATGTCATAATAATAGTTTCTATATGGATACTTATAAGAAATTTATTTTTATTTTTTTTAATCCTCACCCAAGGATATGTTTACTGATTTTAGAGAGAGAAAAACATCTATGTGAGAGAGAAACATCAATCGGTTGCCTCCTGTATGCACCCCTATCAGGGATCGAACCCACAACCTAGGTATATGCCTTGTTTAGAAATCAAACATGCAGCCTTTTTATATACGGGATAACGCTCCAACCAACTGAGCCACAGGCCAGGGCTTAAGTATTTTATTTAATGGCTAAATAAATAAATAAATAAACTAGTTAGTACCAAACATAAAGGAATTAAACACACCATGACTAAATATCATAGAAATTCATAATCATTTAAGCCTTTGTCACATTATGAACACGAACAACTATGATAAGAAACACTGGGCATTAGAATATTTGCTGTTCACTTAAAGAGTTACTAGTATTGAAACTGCTATCACTAGGCATGTGCAGATCGCATAACATGTACTAATTGCTTAAACAGAACTCTTTATCAAGGGTAAAATTTTCATGCCAAGAATGAAAAAACATGGCACAATGAATGTCAAAATTACTATATTGCATTATAAATATCAAAAGATACATTTCACTCTTCCTAGCACGAAATTTATGTTTTTTAAACTTAATTGATAGTTTTTGGATTCTAAGGAGCTTGCAAATATATTTAGTAATTTATATTACTAAAATAGAGCTTGATATATGTACAAAAATCACCTAGGATAAAATGTCCTTGGTTTTAACATGCATGTATACATAGAAATAAACATACACAGTCACGGGAGTTACATACACCAACAAAAATTTACATTTAACAAAGATAAAAAACAAAAAGCAAATAAAAAATCCTGCTAGGCCTTTTTTTGTTTTTCTGTCTTTAGGGCTTGAGAACGAATGGAGAAAATTACCAAAGTAACAAAAAAGGACACAAAAACCACACTTCAAACAAACTCCTTGTCAGTATTAGAACCTGATTTGACAAAGAGGTTTAATCCACTTCCTCAAAGGTCACATGCTATCAAGGTGAAGAATGAGCATCTACGGAGTTAAGCCGGTTGTCGTTCTGAGAAGTAGTGTGCTCCTCCTCCACCTCTCCCACGCGGGTCACTTTATCTGGCTGTCTTGCAGGAGGAAGTTCATTATTTGTCCCATCTTCACTGGATGATAAAATGCCAGGCCATTCATTTGACATCAGAACTTGCAATGATTGTGTTCCATCTTCAATATCCACTTGAATCCCCAAAGCATTAAGAATGTCACATTTGCACACGGGGCATGTTCCATGGGCTAGAATCCAGGGGTCAATGCAATTCTTGTGGAAAAAATGTTTACAAGTCAGAATACGAATCGTGTCATCAGGCTTGTAGAGTTCAAAGCAAACTACACAACTATCTCCATCTGGACTTACTTCCTCATCCCCTTCTTTCAGTACCCGGAGTTGGAGCTGGCTAAATGCTATCTTGAGATCTGTCTCTAACCGCAGCCATCTCCTGCTCTGAATCCTTGCTACGCAAAATCTTCGAATATGATAAAATATGAAGTATGCTAAGGTAGCAGTTGTGACAATCACAAAAGAGACAAAATAGTGATTCATCCAGATGATGTGTTTTCTCCCCACCTCAACTATGACTGTAACATGAACTCCCTTCCGAATTAAATGCAAAATCTCCATGCCTTTTATATTACCAATCATCACTACAACGATGTCTTCAAATGTCTGATGAGACATAGGAAAAACCTGATTGCCAGTTCCTGGAAAGTTATAGATGATCACTCCACTGGCTCCCTTCTCAACAGCCACCTTAATTTTCTGTGTAAAGGAACAACCTCCCCGTTCAATAAGTGCAAGCCATGTCTCTGAGTTCTTTGATCTGCTGAAACTGGTATTGGGATTACAGGCATTTTGTGGTTTTCCATCAGGTGGCACAACAACTCCTGTCACTCTCTTCAAAGTGGAGCTTCTTCCAAATACTCCAGTTTCCCCTAACTCTGACAGCATGCGATTCCCAATATGAAATGATATGTTCATGTACGCCGTCCAAACAGTGCTGGCTTTGCAACAGCTCTGACTAAGAAGCCAAAGAACACTGAATTTCACAAGCCAGGAAGATGCAGACTTGTTTCTCTGAGTGCCAACCTGGAGTAGATTCATCTCTCTCTGACTAGTAACCAAAGGACCAATCCAATGAAAAGATGTGGCTTCCACATCTGTTGACAATCAATTTAAAATAACAAAATAAAAAAATCTTCTGGGTGAAAACAAGTTCCACTGTCTTCCAGCATGGTTTTGTGAAAAATTCTTAAAGATGTCGCATGAGTTTCAGATGTTTTATTAGAGGCAGAGAGAGAAAAACTTTACATTGGGGGAACAAATCCTGGTCTCACTATGGCAACTCTAGATATGCTTACTGTTGGGTGATATGATTATGACATAAAAGGCAACACAGCCAATCAGATGAGAGCTTAGGGCATCCTGTAGAATGTATTGGCTTAGAAGTTTCAAATGTTGTTATGGGTGATTTCTATGTTGTTATAAGATGGAATCCCTCTCTGAGTGACATATAATGTTAGCAGGCACCACATTAAACTAAAAATTAAAACCCATACAACACCTGCATTTTAAAACCCAAAAAGATATGCATATGCAAAAAAGCTATTAACTACAATTTTTCTTCAAAAGACATTTTCAACAAAATGACCAGTTTTACCAAAATAATTTAAAATTAGCACTGTGGCCAAATATGAGGTAAAAAGGATAAACTCTGTAACACCATTTTTAATTCACATTTAGTCACAATGCAAATTTTTTATCATGTAAACCACTGTACTAAATTTACTTAATAAAAGTTTGCTTAGAAGTTTGCTGGATTCATTTGGATTTGATTTTTAAAAGCGGTGTATCCTAACCCTAGCCCGTGTGGCTCAGTTGGTTGGGCATCGTCCCACACGCCAAAAGGTGGTGGGTTCAATTCTCAGTCAGGGCGCATGCCTGGGTTGCAGGCTGGGTCACAGGTTGGGTCCCAGGTTGGGGTGCACACAAGAGGGAACAGGTCGAATGCTTCTCAAATTGATGTTTCTCACATCAATGATTCTGTCCTTGTTTCTCCCTCCCATCTCCTCTCTCTAAAATCAATAAAAAAGAAATAAATAAAAGTAGAATATCCTGTTAAATTACTTCAGCCTCACTTCCTGTTACATAAAAACAGCAATAAAGACCAACATTACTCTTATTTTTCTGCGGACCCTAACATGTTACTAACCTAACAATATTTTGAGGGAGGATGAGGAAGGATATAAACTGTAAGAGGAAAGACTAAATATAGCAGTATTAGATTAGTACAACTCATTGTAAACAAAAATGTACTGATTTTAGAAAGAAAAGCTTCAAGGTTCCCACTTAAAATTAACCACAAAGAGCCATGACTATTTCATAAATGCTTTTAAATAAAATATTATCTAAAATCAATAAACATCCATGGAGGAAGACCTCACATAACACACTGTCAGTTCTGCCTACACTTATGTCAATGGCACAGTATGACTTCAAAGCATAAGAATGACTTGTAAACTAACAAACGTGAGCAGCCACTGGTGCTGCCATATACTTTCTTAGAGATATATCTTAGTGGTTCTTATTCATCAGCTAGGAAACCACTGAAGGATTTTGACCTTAAACTTAAATGTCTCTGACCCCTATGCACATAATGCTAAGAGACACTTTTGAATTGGGTCTCACCAGGACAATGGATAGTAATACTTCTTATGAAATGTGAATCAACAACACGACGACTTGAGGCATGAAAGAGGAAGGAGACAAGGGCTCTATGGACCCAGCAAAAAAGGAGCATAAAAAGAATACTGTCTTGAAACCTTCAACTAATAATGATCAACTATTTTTATCAAAGGTCATTAATCTGATTGTATTTCTATACAACTACTCTTTTAAAAGACAGTACAGTACATAGCGTCTGGACTCACAAAATACTGAGTTGGACATTAATGGTTTAGTATATTGTCCATAAAGACAGATTTCATCAAAACAACATAAACAAAATCATTAAGCCTCTCACAGTTACACAGGTATTTATTCACACAGTTAAAAAGAAGGGGCAAAGTAAAGCAAAAGATACAATTTGGAAAGGCAACTGAAAGTTTCAGCTCTGCACTGTCAAAGAGAGGTACTCACCACCACTTCTAGTTTATTTCTAGAAGAGAAATCTGATAACCATAGCTTATTCACTATGCTAGTACTTAAAAAACTCTGGCAAACAAAGCTGATTTTTTGCAATGCTGCCATAAATGAGACCTATAATAATTTAAAATATTATTAGTTACATAATAAAAATGTTATCATCTAAATAATTATTTAAAACTATTACCTACCCAGTCAGTAACTTTGGAAACCAGATTATTTGGCTATTAATAAAATTAATTAATGATGGAGAATTAAATCCTATAATAAAGATCTAATCCTATCATAAAGTTTATTGAGCAGAGATATAATTAGATATCAAATACTAAACAAAATATATAACAAATATAAAAATTAATATGAAAATCTTAAAAATATGATTCTCTGTAGCATCAATTTCATAAACATTGTAATTTGAAGCTAAAGACTAATTTGTTTTTAACATATACTAATGTCCTTATTGGGATTAGAGCAAAAACATATAAAAATTAAAACTTATTAGAAAAACAAGTTCAAATAGGTTGGTATGATATGGCCTTTTATTTTAAAAACATGAATTTCACCCTGTTTAGTACTTGGGTAGAGAACCTGGAGTTAAATTTTTTCTCTACCTACAACGCTAACAGAATTTACCTAATTTTAATCTTTGAAAAGACTCAGTTACATCTTCAGAAAATTCTCGGGGTTTCTTCAGTTTTCAGAATGTCACACTTGCATATAGGGCATGTCCTACGGGCTAAAATCCAAGGGTCAATGCACACCTTATGAAAAAAATGTTTGCAAGTTAAAATACGCACTACATCTTGGGGTTTGTATACGTCAAAGCAAACAACACAACTGTGTTCATTTGGATTTAGTTCCTTATCCCCTTCTTTGAGCACTCGCAGTTGAAGCTGAGCAATTGCCTTCTTCACATAGGCCTTTATCTGTCTCCGCCTTCTGGTGGAAGCACTGGGCACTCTAGGTCTCCAGGTACAGTACAAGAAAAGGTAGGCAACTGTAGGAGCCAGGAAGGTAAGCAGAGACATGAGGTAATAGCTCAGCCATGGCATATGCATTCTCCCCACTTCAATGATGATTGTCACATAGACTCCTTTTTGAATCAAGTGCAAAAGTTCCGTGCCTTTCAAGTTGCCTATCATCACTGCAACTGTATTTCCTGTTCCCTGGTGAGACATGGGAAATACTTTGTTGCCCGTACCTGGGTAGTTATAGATGATCACACCATTTGCTCCCTTCTCTGCTGCCACGTTGATTTTATGTGTAAAAGTACAGCCTCCCCGTTCAATGAGGGCCAACCAAGAGTCTACCTGTTCAGGCCTGCTGAAATTGGTCATAGGATTACAAGCATTCTGATTCCATCCTTCAGGAAGTACCACAGCACCAGACACCCTTTCCAGAGGAGAATGATTCCCGAACACTCCATTCTCTCCTAATTCTGATACAATGCGGTTTCCCACCTGAAATGTTATATTCAGGTGGGCAGTCCAAATGGCTTTTGAGTCAGGGATGGTAAGCAGTAGAAAGATGCTAAGCCTCAACAGTCGAGATGAAATAGAACTACGAATTGAAGGAGTAATAGTAAGTAGCCTCATACTTCCATTTGTCTATTCACTGACAAACATGAAAAACAAAACATCAACTATAAAAGAAAATAAAGAAGTAAGCTTCAATTGTTAATGGCTGATAATTAAAGCATATTAATGGAAAAGCCCTGAGTGGATCAAAGACATCTTGCTCCTTCCAGTATTTTTATTTTGGGTAGATTACTTTTCTTAACATGAAAAAAGACTTGTTGTTAGTATAATGTGATTTCAAGAAAATTATGACTTCCTAATGGGTAAATTGTGACATCAGAGGTAGTTAAGCCAATCCAAGAGTTTATGTTAGTGCAGTGCATACTGAAATCCTATTGGCCAAAAAGCTACTAAGCAATATGTTGGGAACTACCCTGCCTGGTTTCAGAATTTATAACCCACCCCCCCATGGCTAGGGCTGAGTGAGTGACCTTCAGACCATAAGCCACTAAGGAGAAAAAGCTTATCTCCCTGGCAGGGGCATCACTTCTCCTTTTTCTTTACCCTGCTTGGCCCCCAATGCTTGATCAGTTAGCCAATGACCAGTAAAATTCCCCAAGGGGGCAACAACCTAAGACAGGCATAATCACGGGGAGGCCCCCAGGGAAGGACTTGAGCAGCTATAGCAAAAGGGCGTGATGGACCCTCACCCCTCCACTTTGACCTAGCCTGAGTACTCATTCTGTCTTCCAGAAGTCTCCTAATCTCTTGGCTGCCTTACTTCCCCTGACTGACATAAGCCTTAAACAATGCCTTAAGCCTGAAACAATGCTGGTGGTGGGTGTCACCCTGTGCTAGAAATGGCGGGTTCCCTAGGAAAATCAGACCTAAGAAAGAATATGTAAAATCCTGTGAAACTGCTTTGTTTAGAATGGTCTCAATTAAATGATAAGGGTCCAAGCAGAAAGTGAGCTTGCTCCTCAAAGTTTTATGGCTTCTTAGCTATCTGACCCTGACTCAAAATAGGCCCTCAGAGTTCTTTGTATATTATCTATTGTTTGATCCTTACTGCCAGATAATTATTAATGAGCTTTACCTGTATTCCTGTGTAAAATGAACCCAATAAAAGCCCATTGAGGAAAAGGCTCTTGGACCTTCTTTGACAGATCAGCCACCTTTGCTCCCCAAGCAGATCATGTCTTGGTAGACTTATTCCATCCATGGCAGCTGGGGGGACCCTGTGGGTGGAGGCCCCCCCCAGCAATGACTCATAGTATATAACAATTTGAATAAACTCTAAAGTAAGAAATAAATACATAAGAATTTTGGTTAAAGTCTTGAGTTTCCTAGTTCAATATAGATTGAAAAGCTGCCTAAGTGCCCGTCAGTAAATGAGTGGATCAAAAAACCATGGTATTACACAATGGAATACTATGCAGCAGAGAGAAAGAAGGAGCTCCTACCCTTTGCAATAAGCATGGATGGAACTAGAGAGCATTATGCTAAGTGAAATAAGCTAAGCAGTGAGTGTCAAATACCATAAGATCTCACCTTTAATTGGACCCTAATCAACAAAAGATAACCAGAGATATTGAAATTAAGAACAATCTGACAGTAACCAGAGGGGACATAGGAGGGGATAATGGGGGGAAGGGTTTTCAGGAACAATTACAAAAGACTTAAGAACAAAACCAAGGTGGGGGGTAGAAGCAGGGGAGGGAGATAGGTTTGGCTGGGGTGGGGGGAAGTGGTGGTAAGGTAAATGCAGACAACTGTAATTGAACAATAAAATAATTTTAAAAAATAAAAAAACAAATTAGATATGAACCACATGGGACTTTCAACCAAGATGGAAGCATAGGTAGACACACTGTGCCTCCTTGCACAATCAAAAGAAGGACAACAACAAATTTAAAAACAAAAAACCACCAGAACCAACAAAAAAATTGAACTGTATGGAAGTTCGACCACAAAGGAGTTAAAGAAGAAACATTCATACAGACTGGTCAGAGGGGAGGAGACAGGCAGCCAGGTGGAGAGGACTCAAAGCAAGGCAGCAGCTGGTGGACCCAGTGAGGTGGCAGCTGCCAGACAGAGCAGTCTCACATTTGCATGCAGATAAATTGGAAGGAACAACTGCTGAGTGAAACAGACCACGCAACCCAGGGTTCCAGCACAGGGAAATAAACCCACAAAGCCTCTCGCTGAAAACACCTGCAGGGATTGAAGCAGCAGTGGAAGAAACTCCCAGCTTCACATGAGAGTTCACTGGAGAGACGCACAGGTTCCTAAAACTTACACAAGCCGACCCATCCAGGAATCATACCAGAAGGGCCGAATTTGATTGTGGGTAGCAGGAGAAATGGCTAAAAAACAGCAGAGAGAGGAGTGAGTGCCATTGCTCCTTCTTGGACCCCTCCCCTACATACAGCAATACAGCATCACAATGCAGCGAGATAGGTTGCTCCAACCTGGTGAACACCTAAGGCTCTGGCCCTTACTATGTAACAACAACAACAAAAAAGGCCCAAATGAAAGAACAAATAGAAGCTCCAGAAAAAATGCAACTAAGCAACAAAGAGATAGCCAACCTATCAGATGCACAGTTCAAAACACTGGTCATCAGGATACTCACAGAAATGGAGGACTATGATTGCAAATTAGAGGAAAAAATGAAGGCTATACTAAGTGAAATAAAGGAAAATGTACAGGAAACCAACAGTGAAGGGAAGGAAACCATAACTCATATCAATGGCATGAACCAGAAGGAAGAAAGAAACCAGAAAAGAATGAAGAAACAAGAATTCAAAAAAATGAGGAGAGGCTTAGAAACCCCTTAGGACAACTTTAAACTTTCCAATATCCGAATCATAGAAGTGCCAGAAGAGAAGAGGAAGAGCAAGAAATGGAAAACTTATTTGAACCAATAATGAAGGAGAACTTCCTCGATCTGGCAAAGGAAATAGATTTCCAGGAAATCCAGGAAGCTCAGAGTTCCAAAGAAGTTGGACCCAAGAAGGAACATGCTAAGGCACATCATAATTACATTAGCCAAGAGTAAAGATAAGGAGAGAATCTTACATGCCACAAGAGAAAAGGAGACAGTTACTTACAAAGGAGTTCCCATAAGACTGTCAGCTGATTTCTCAAAAAAACAACAACAACAACAACAAAAAACCCTTGCAGGCAAGAAGCAGCTAGAAAGAAGTATTCCAAGTCATGAAGTGCAAGGACCTACATCCAAGATTGCTCTATCCAGCAAAGCTGTCATTTAGAATGGAAGGTCAGATAAAGTGCTTCCCAGATAAGGTCAAGTTAAAGGAGTCCATTATCACCAAGCCTTTATTATATAAAATGTTAAAGGGATTTATCTAAGAAAAAGAAGATAAAAAATATGAATAGTAAAATGACAACAAACTCACAATTATTAACAACAGAACCTAAAACAAAAGCAAACTAAGGAAACAACTAGAACAGGAACAGAATCACAGAAATGGAGATCACATGGAGGGTTATCAGCAGGGGAGGGGGAAAGAAGGGGAAAAGATACAGAGAATAAGTAGCATAATTGGTAGGCAGAAAACAGACAGGGGGAGGTTAAGAACAGTATATGAAATGTAGAAGCCAAAGAACTTATACTCGAGACCCATGGACATGAACTAAAAGGGGGGGATGCAGGTGGGAGGGGGTGCACAGGGTGGAGAGGAATAAAGGGGGGAAATGTGGCATCTGTAGTAGCATAATCAATCAAATATATTTTTCAAATTAGATTAAAAAAAAAAAAGAAAAGCTGCCTAACCACTTTTACACTGTTTTTTTATGTTTTGTTTTGTTTTTTATTTTTACTTTCTGGGAAAGTAGAAATCATGTATTAGTGTATGTACCTGGCCAGTTGCCAGTTTTCATGTATGGTATGCTGCCTAAAATGCCATTTATGGGAGGCAGGAACAAATCATTCCTACTCTATCCCAATATTAAATGCTCACCTAGGCCTAACGACTCAACATGAGGACAATGTAATATAAACTTACATTGTTAGCCTGATATATTGTCATCTTGCAAAGTGAATTCAACTTTATTCACTAAAATAGCTCCTGAGATTATACAATGTGCTAGACAAATAGTAATGTGGCTCCTACATCAAAGAAGAAAACAGATATAAGCCTACTTTGTAGAGCACATTATCCAGTAAGGGCAGATTTTAAACAACTACACACGCAAATGTGTAACTGCAGGTTGTTATAAGGGCTCTGAAAGGAAAACGCAGAGTATGAAGAGGAAGAAGAGATGTAGTGGGGAGCTGAACTCTGCTTAGAGGTCCAGGGCATTGCTCTAAGAAAGTGACACTTAGGCTGAGATTTGAAAGATAAATCAGAATTGTCCAAGCAAAGAATGAGATAGGAAGATTTCAGGCAAAGGAAACAGCAGTTTCAGGACCCTAACATAGGAAAAAAATGGCAAGTTAAAGAATGTGAATAAACATAACTTTGGCAAAGTGAGAGCAGAGAGCTGAGGGTGAGGAGAGAGGAAAGGCAAATAGCAATCAGTGTTCAGGGTCACAAACATGGTCAGGATTTGGGATTATGCCCTAAGGACAAAAGGAAGACTGGAGGGTTCCAAGCTGGGAAAGTGACATTTAAGTGTCTCAAAATGTTCACTTTTTAATAAGTGTACTCTGACTGCCTTATATGGAAAATGGGTTAGAGAAGGAGGAGAATAAAGTGGTGAAATGAGCTTAGGCAGAAGAAAACAGTGGCTCAAACTCATGGAACAGTAGAGGTAGAGACATCAAAATGACAACTAAACTACAAAACAACCAGCATTTAGAACAGCCTTAAATCTAGCTGAATGGAAGGACTACAACTAGGGATTTAAAGAAGAAGCCACATGGATTCTGGCAGGAGGGGCAGAGATGCCAAACTGGCTGGTCTCACACCCATGTGTGGTGGTTTAAAATCAGGAGGGATAGATATCTTGGCTATGGAGGACCCCCTGAGCAGTGAGGGGTCACAGCCCATACCTAATACCCCAACCCAGGATTCCAGAGCAAGCAAAAAAGACAAGTCCCCATAACTTCTGATTGTAAAAACTAG